ACACACACAGAAACACAGAGAGAGAGAGAGAGAGAGAGAGAGAGAGAGAGAGAGAGAGAGAGAGAGAGAGAGAGAGAGAAATGGAGTATGGTAGGAAGGGTAGATTGGGCATGGCGGCCCAGCGGAAGCGAAGGGTTTTGGGGACGCGATTGTCGATGGCAAGAGGAGGAGCAGGAGAGAAGAAAGGGGGTAAGCTGGAGCAATCATTGGAGGAGGTTACGGACTACTCCCAGTGTAACGGAGTTGCCACGTCGGACTGGGGCGATCAGGCATCGTCCTTGTCCCGACGTCAACGAAACGAGGAAGAGGACTTCGAGGTGGTAGAGGAGGGTGTCGAGGAGGAGGAGGAGGAGGAGGAGGAGGAGCTGGCGGTAGGAGGATCGCGGTTTGATCTTGAAAGGGGTGCACATCCTTTGGGCGTCCGGCCTCTCGGAAATCTTCTCTTTGACGTCGACGCGGGAGAGCGCGGTGTGCGGCACAACGTGCGTGACGTCGGGCTCGGGGATCTCGCGATTCTGTCGGACGCAACCATCTTGGACATCGTGGGGCATTTGAGCGGTCGGGATCTTGCCCGACTGGCGCTCGTCAGCAAGGCGTTTTACGTGTTTTGTTATCAGGATGACACGTGGCGGGCCCTGGTCGTCGAGGAACTGCGTGGCGACTTCCGCTTCGCCGGCTCCTGGCGAGAAACGTATCGAACGGCTAAGGATCCATCGTCATACAAGTTAGCCGCCGCCTACGCCGCCGATGGGAGGAAGAAGGGGAATCGCGACAACTTCTCGTTGGCGCCGCTGCGAGTGAAAGGGTTTTACTCCGACTATCTGTTTCAAAGGTGCGTTAGCGCTCGGGGGCCTTTCTACACTTCTGTCTCGGTCTTTGTTATTCTGCTTTTTCTTCATTTCACTCCTTCTCCTTCCTCGGGTCTTCATATCCATGGTCTCTTGTTCATTGGCTATGAGTGGAGTGGCTCGCTGATTTTGCGTTGAGATCTTTGTGTACTGCATTATCGAGATCTTTCTGTACTGCATTATGTAGGGACTATCTACGTGATTCAAAGGTGCGTTAGGTACTGACTACCACTTTAAAAGGTGTGTTAGCGCCGGGGGGAGTTTTTTTTCTACACTTCTGTCTCTGTTTTTTTTTTTTGCCTTTTTATTCTTCTTTTCCTGCCTCGTTCTTCATCTCCTTGGTCTCTTATTCATTGGCTTTGAGTGGCTTGGTGATGTTGCGTTGAGATCTTTCACTACTGCATTATGTAGGGACTATCTCTATCGTTTTCAAAGGTGCGTTAGGGATTATCTATCGGTGCCAGAGGGACGTAAGCTTCTGCACCCGAATACAATGTACGGTCATTACTGCTGTCTTTTAGACTGCAAGGTATCTCAAATACACAGCTATAACAACTATAAAATGACCCTACGTTGTATTCCTGTGAGAAAGGCAGGGTTTTGGCCATGCATCAGGGAGTGGTGGCGGCGGCGGCTGTCGTTGCGTTGGTAGTGTAGTCATTGTTAATGACTGTCTTCTTACGTTATTGCTTCAAGTTGTACTATTTTTCTCAAAGGAGGTCGAGTGGCGTGGCGTGGATGGAAGGGCAGACCTCGGTAATGCTAAGTAGAACACACACTTGGTGCCTCGCGGGTCCATCGCCAAATGCCAACATTTTGAATGCATCCGGACTAAAACGTTGTTCAGATTCGTCCAGAAATGTGGGCGTTTGGGGCGTTTGGCGAGTTGTGGGTGCGGCGAGGCCCTCCGGGTCTGGTGCTCGATGAGTTTTTTGTTTTTCTTTCTTCTCGGTGTTTTCCGAGTCTATTTGTGTTCGTCTCTGTCACAGTCATTCTCCGTTGACCATGTGTATGTCAATCGTTTCCGTGTCATGCTGAAAATCTCTCCTCTTGCATCAAATCGTCTTTTCGTATTTGTTTTTTTTGTGACGTACACGTGTCTGCGTGAGGGTGGGTCGGGCAGAACATGAAGTGGGGTCGTTGTACGTTTATCTAATAATACCGAAATAACAAGGTCTCGCTCCACTGCTCACCAAACCAAATTTGCAAAAAAAAAGAGAAAAGATACCCCGTCTTTTTTTTTTTGGAATCTGTTGTGCATGTGGTGAGCAGTGGAGCGATGCCCACGTTCAAGGACGTCGTCGTCGATATGATTTTCTCATCTGCCCCCCCTCCCTCGGCCCGGAATTTGGGCCCCTCTTTCCAGTACTCTCGGAATGTGCAAAACGAGAGTGAATCTTCCGCTAGAACGTGGAACTATACAGCGCCATGATTGTCTTTTGTGGATGTCGAGAGTATAGTGGAGCGAGGCCCTTTATGTAGGAAAGGTGGAGTTGTCGCTGCTTCTCTTTTTGACCTACAGTCTTCAGCCGAATAGAACGTACTCTGCTATTATCGCTGTATCTTTTTTTTTAATTTACTAGTATTATTGCATTTGGATCTGAAGTCGGGTCTGGTCCTTCGGGACATCCGTTAAAATTGGAACGATACAGAGAAGGGTAATTACCAAAATGGCCCCTGCGCTTTCAAGGATGACACGCATAAATCGAGAAATGGTCCAAAAAAAAAGAAAAAAGAACTCGGGTCTGTATTTCAACAGCTTGTGGGTGTACCAACTGAGCTATGCCCGTTCTTTATCGCTGTATTGTCTCCTTTGGAGGCGAGGGAAGTCCTGGGCCTTGCTCCACCACTCTTCACGTGCACGAAAGACAAGATTATGGTCGTGTATCTTCCCATGTTCTAGCGGATGATTCATTCTCATTTTGCGCATTTGGATCGAGGGTAGTAAAGCGAGGCCCATAGTGTAGGGTGCGGCATCGTTATGATGGCGTCCTTGATATTGTCAGCGTAAGAATGCCTCTTGCTTGTTTTTTTTTCTTTTTGTCTTTTTTTTTGAAGTTAATCTGGTTAAAGGGCTATCCTTCCACGGTGGGATTCTTTAATCTATCCAGGGGCGAGGTCCCACCAGCAAAGCGGATTTTTGATTAAACGTCTGAATCTGGACTCGTTTGCTGGGAGGTGCAGAAAAATTATAGCATTTGATCTGCGTTTCTGCATCTGTGCCTATATCCCGTCCAGATTCAGGTGCTCTGCTATTCGGCATCTGTGCCTATATTCCGTCCAGATTCAGGTGCTTGATCTAATCTGCTTTGCTAGTGGGTCGCCCCTGGAGAGAACAGTGCTTAGTTGCATGCACGTGCACTATCCCCGGACGGAAAATGGAAAGCGAAAAATTGAATGTGAGAAAGCGAAATAGAAAAATCGAGTGGAAGTACTGACAAGCCGTGGCCGGACAAGCCGTGACCGAACGCTGCCTTCCATGCACACGCTTCGAGGCAATGGTGTTAATCTAAAATGCCGCTTGGAAATGAAAATTGATAGGTCAAGTACCTACACTTTGAATCTTTAATAAATCAAGCCTGACCCTGGAGGCACGAAGTGTTGGTTGATTAGATCCCAAACGAAACGCTTGAGCTTCCAGTCGCCTGGAAGTTCAGAAAGAAAAACGTCACATCTCCGGCAGGTGTGCGAATCTCAATAGCCCCCGCGTCGTAGTAACGTGGGTAAGCGTTGAGAGTGTGTTTAAGTCTGCACGACTTAGGGCCTCGCCCCGGGGCAGAGGACGACTTAGGGCCTCGCCCCTGGGGCAGAGGACGGTTTCATGACACCTTTTTCCAAGAAAAAGAAGAAGAAAGAGTTAAAAAGGAAATCAAAAGAAAGAAAAATGACGCCTCAGGGGAGTACGGTGCCGTTTTGGGGTTGGTGAAAGGCCATGGGAGTTTTGACTGCCTCAGGGCGTACCCACACTAGCACCATCTTAAACTACTGTATCTGACTGCTTTTACGGCCGGAGCTGTATGCATTTGACCGCAATTCCGTCCAAAAAGTGGTCAAAAAGTGCGAGTGTCAGTACGGCCCTCATTTTCGCTCCTTCTTGCAGGCAGTGAGATCTCAGCCCGCCTCAGAAACACCGAAGTTGCGAAAAAAAAAAGAAACACACACCGAAGTTGCGTCATTTTCTCTTTCTCTTGCAATCGGTAAGAAATGAAATACGTAATAACTCGTTGACAGAAAATTAGCTATGTTCAGCTTTTGTTGTTCTTTTATGTGTTATTGTTGTCCTTCTGTTTCGCATATGCCCCTCTAATGGAACGCCCGCGTATCTGGACTGAAAGTCGCACACCGGATACGCGTTCTATTCGGGTGAAGACGGTACGTTGCGCCCCTGAATGACACATTTTCATGTTGGATGTGTGTATCAACCATGTAGGTACACCTTCTCTGTTACTGTTCGCCTGTTTTATAGATTACTGAAATGCTTGCTGTGCCTGGTACACTGCCTGATCTGTATGATAAGCTCTGTTTCCTTGGACTCCCATAAATTCTTGTGAGTACCAACTGGCCTAGGTCAGTTGGTACATCTCCCGACCTGTCGAAATACGGGCCCGAGCACGAACTCCGCCGGAAGCAGATGAGTGAAATATTCCAATGCTGAATTACCTAGGGCCGGTAAGTTCGATGATGATATCTC